AACATTATTTAGATCAGGAATTATGTTTGAGTATTTCACCCAAAAAATCAAACGGAATGACGAATGCAGAACAAACTGACAACTGAATGGCATTACTCATGTGGTGACAAAATAGGCCTTCTTCAAATTGTATACTTGCAGAACGGTTTCCAAGCTGCAAGCTTTAGCTTTTCCGTGTAAGAAAAATAATTCATTTTCTATATGCTGTTAAGAAGAAGTCACATACGGTCCATACAATTTCGCTGTGATTTTAGAACAGGTTACATACTTCACAAGCAAAAATAATGGACAGCTATGATACTTTATGAATGAACATATCAGAATCATAAAAATCTCATAAATAAAAACTTATTCAAAACCAAAAAGGGCAAACGGTCTTGTGAGACCCCCTAAAAACAAACTTTCTCTGCCTAAGTGTCTTACAGAATTCGTGTTTAAACGTTAAATACTGCAGTAAAAAGTGTAAATGCGTGTTAAATTGGGTGGCAATTGAATAAGGGAAAGTAAACTATAGCCACTTATAATTGTTTCAATAGGATAAATATAATCAAATCCACCAACATAAATTCCTGTTGCTTAGGTTACTGATGCCTACTGACCAATAAGAATAATAGACAACTCCTATTGGAGGAAATTCGACTTTAGACAGGCGGAATTAATTTAAAACGGCCCACAAGAGAGTCCTATTCCGAAAAGTAACCTTTCTTCGAGTATAAATTTCAAGGAGACCCCAATGTTCTACGAAACCCAAGCCAGAAAGAATATATGGTGTGGAGACTTTCCATAAAATACATTTGGAGTTATAAGCGTCTCGAAAATCACAATCAAAAAAATTCGTACTAATAAAGTAGCCCTTTCACACAGTCTAGCTGCTAGAAAGAAGCCCGTTCAATAGCTGACATCCCAACATGACCGAAATATCTGAGAATTATGCTGCCTGATAACGAATAAGCAGAGCCCTACCTAAGTACATTTACGGATCAAAAACACATTTTAGATCTCGGTTAACATCTTACGAGATAGCACATGCCTCGCACGCATGAGCGTTAGAGGGCATCAAGAAAATCGGTAACTCATGCTACCAGTCAGTGAGAAGTATAGTAAACGCTAAAATTCATTAGACTTTGGTGTGCTGGAATATATAGTTCACAAGGCGAGGTTGCAACATTTTCAGGTTAGACAAGCATACTGACAGCAGGATTTACTTAATTCAATAAATTTCGCGACGGTTTTTCCACTGCATCCCGTCGTTGTATGAGTCAGATAACGGTTAGAAGCATTCGGCAAATTGAAGTTCACAGAACGTCATAGTCCAATGTAACTAATGAGCCATTGAAAGAAACTACATTAAATCAGCCTATACGGTAAACGGGGGGGGGGAAGAGGAAGTTGGCGCAAATCAAGTCGTGATTAAAACTAGTTGCCCAATTAACAAGGTAATTGGATACTGACCACGTGGTCTATTTGCTTGCACAGGTCGGGTTTCTCCCGTCTTACGTAGGCCGCTTCTAAGTAGCGCTGGAATTGATTCGTTCCTGCCCGAACAAGTGCTGGGAAAGCTGTTTTGAGGTCGACCGAGTGACCACTATCTAGCAGTTGTTTAGTAATCAAAGATCCTTGTACTCTGTTTCCTTGCTTGAAAAGCCAAGTAGACAAGTGTTCAGCGATCCTGGCTGCCAGTCGACATTCAGTGAAATTCAATTTGCTGTATGCTTCTAACCGTTATCTGACTCATACAACGACGGGATGCAGTGGAAAAACCGTCGCGAAATTTGTTTAATTCAATAAATTCTGCTGTCTATGCTTGTGTAAAAATCGTACCAGTGAACAACTGCTTAAAATATTCAGGTAAGTTCAATTTTTATGGGAAAAGATAGGCCAGCGTCTTTGAGCTCCCTATTGGTGACACAGTGACCATGAAATGCATATGTACAGCAGAAAATGTCAGCAAGAGATGTTGTTGCCACAATATCAGGCAAAAAGTGGGGAGCCTTATCTTCGAGTAATATAATTACATGTGCAATTATTTCCTCACAAAAAGTACTTCGGATCATTGTCGATGCCAAAGTATACAAGCCAGTAGGTGGAACGAAAGCATATTGGTGACTATAAGCGGCCCATATATGAACAGTCTGCCTTTTAACCAATAGGCTGCAAGCAAAGCAAGGGCATACTCCCGTCCTGTTTAATAAGTCTAGAAGGGGGAAAAACGATTGTCTTCTTACCAGTGGTGTTTTCGTCGTTTGAATCCGAATGGGACTAAACATTCCACACAAAATGGACTGTCACTCCAAGCCGGCTCCTCAAGCAGACAACCTACACAAATAAAAATCAACGTGAAAATAGGAGAGGACATTTTCTTGCTCAAGCAGGTATGTAAAACTACTGGTAAGTGGACAACGCTTAACCTTGAAATACAGCTGATGCGAGGGCTAAAATTCCTCGTCTTTAAGAGCGTTTGGTTTCAAAGGGATTGACAAGGGTCTGGATGCAGAATTAATGGCTTGGCGATAAGGTATTTTAAAAAGGTTCTCATGGCTGGAGAAAGGGGAAAAGGAAAGGGGAAAAGGAAAGGAAAAGGGACAGGGACTCGCAAAGAACGGCTGACGCCGATCTGCTGCGGGAACTCACTGCTCGAACATTCTTATCAGAAGTTTATTCGCGGGTATTAGTTAAGCAGGCACAGAAAGACCCAGGCCCCAGCTTGAACGCGCTTAAACAGACGGAATAAATATCAGCAGCATTGGAAAATGTCACGTACAAATCTTCGCAGGACCTGCCCAAGTCTTAATGGTAGACTGGTTTGGGACGCAGTGAACGGTTTAAAAGTCAGGTAAACGGACGAGAGTCCGCGAGGAAACAGAAGTCCACTTGGGTAGAAGTTGATTTAGATCCCAAAATAGCATGCCAAAACCCCCATCTTTGTGTAATACGAGACCGGTGGTAATAAAGATAATATAGACTGGCAATTACAGAGGAAGGAAAGTTTAAATAAAAAGTAGAGGGTATAAAATAAGAAAAGATTGGAATAATTATTTAAATAACCTAATGTCGGCAACAAAAAGCGCGCCGTAAATAAAAGTTGCAACTACGCAAATATCGGGAACTGCCCAAATTTGCGGAACAACGCAAAGAACTTCGAATGTCTAAGATTAAATTAAAATGAAGTAAAAATAAAATAAAAAGCATATGTCAATAGTAAATCTTAAACTATAATAAACTCAATTCATCTAACTAAAGAAATCTGAACTAAAATGCGCTGAACTAACTAAACTACGAACTAACAAACTAACTAAAGCTTAAGTCAACTAACTAAAGAAATGTAAACTAAGACAAGCGAAACTAACTAAACTAAAAGCCAAACGAAAACTAAAATAGACATAATAAAACATAACAGTAAATTAAAAACAAATCTTAAAACTGAAATAAAATATTCATTAATTAAAAAACAAAATTAGCTAAACTAAGGTAAAATAGTAAAGGTTTTAACTCCAGAAGCAACCACATTTGACTACTTAATCTAAAACTCAGCTAAGAAAATAAAATAAAGCCTATTCTAACTAACTAAGGAGGTAAAATAAAATAAATTAAATTAAAGAAAATAGAAATAAATCTAAAAATAAAATAAAACTTAAAAACTTAGTAATCGACTAAAATAAAAGCTAACCAGAAGAGTATAATTAACTGTAACTATAAATAAATTATTTATGGAGCGTTTTTTGTTCCAAAACATTAGGTTATTTAAAGAATTTTGAGACTGAAATTAATCTTCCACCTCCAATTCTAATACTAAATTCCGTCTTCCCTATTGCTGAGGTGTGCTACCGGTAGGAATAAAATAACTGGCCTAATCGCGATGGGTTCTAATGCATAAATCAGGGCCTACGTGGAGTATCGAAAGCTGACCGGTAAGTTTTCATGAAAAGTTGGCACGATGCAGTCAAAATATAATCTGACCGAGAATTCGCTTCAGTTGCCGGAAGTCCGGTGAAGTAACACCACCGGCAAAGATACTCCAATTGTCAAAGTTGACATTTCCGAGAGATGCACCCTTGGCGAGCAGATAAATGCAGAAGTCTATGTTCTTCGCTGCAAATGCCAACATAAGAGCTGTAAAGGACAGAGATAAGATTAGATGAGCATAAGCCGCTGTGAGTCGGGATTGTTGTTAAGAAGATAAGATAAGGGACTCATATAATTTCGCAGTGTGCGTGGGCGTATACTTTACAAGCAATACTAGTGGACAGAAAGGATGCTTTATAAGGAGAAATTTTAGTGGGTTTTTAAAAGTATTGCCTATTCCGTTTACCAAATAAAACTGAGAGCCTACAAACTTAAAAACTTCATGGCTTGATACTTTTAAAACCAAAATCCGGCAACAGTAGCTTATG